GATTATTTTGTAAATGGTCATTCTTCTTAATGAGAATTAGACAGATAACGTTAGATTTAAATGTGGTTAATTTGGAAATCCATTGAAACGGTTTATTGTTTTCACTTGTAAATTATTTGTAGTTCTGCATTTTAAAATTAATATTTTGGTCGTAATCAAAACCAGTGTGTGTTTAATCAGTAATGTGTGAATATTGTTAACCGCCGTAATATGAAACCTGAACTATATCTAGACATTATGAATGTAACCATTTTGACAAGCATTTGAAATATCAGTTTCATGATCTGTAAATGAACAAACCTACGTCGTCTGACTGACTCAACAAATATCTATCGACATTAAACGTATAAATATGAATAAGGTCAACTGTATCAATGAACATTTAAAATGTTATTATTATTTTTTGTCCTTATGATTATTATTATTATTATTATTAATATTATTATTATTATCCTTATTATTATTATTATTATTATGTCAATTGACAAGATTCAATTCTCATTTCATTGACACAAAATTTTTTGCATTTTCAATTTTCCTATAATGCTCTTCCACTTATTGTGACTAAACTCTTTACTGCAAATAATCCCGACCTTTAATGAATGACCTTTCTAATTTGCAAATGTTACAATTTGTAAGTATATAGATATATATAGTAATAGATGTAAACGTTAACCATTGTTAACACATTACATTGTCAAATTCATTAATGCCATGCCTTATTTTTGGACGTTATAAAATATTAAAATTATGTTTAGTGTGTGGATGAAGTTAATGAAAACGATTGTTCGCTACATTTTATTTTATTTTTGAATATTCTATGACAATTTTTATTACTGCTACAATCACATTGTAGCAGTCATTAATAGTTGTATAACTGTGCAAATGAATACCTTGATATAATCAGTAGTTATGAATCACAATGAAGGCTTAGTTGACGATCAGACGTACTTCTTACGTACGCATAGTTCTGGTTTCAGGTTCTTTGAATATAAAACAAGAATATGAAATTCTTGTTTTTTGTATTCATGAAACGGATAATATGCTTATTTCTTTTAACACTTACTATATAACCTTTAATCACATGAATCATTTCAATAATGATGGTTTCAACTTGTTTTATAATGTCAGTATTTTAATCATAAATAAGTTAATTTTCTTCATTGTGTTTACTTCTCTATGAGCTTTAATCACATTCATCTTAGTAATTATATTCACTAATAAATGTTCTCATCAACTTATTGACCTAACGACAAAATTACAATTTTCACTATATTGAAATATTCCCATTAAAATGTACTATTATTAGATAGTTTACAAAAGTGTTACTAAAACATGAACATTAATCACAATATTTTAAATATAAAATTACTAGATTAGTCTTCATTAGATGACTAAATCTTGTTTAAGTTTTCTTAACCTTTATATCTAATAAACGTTAGAAACCAGTTTACGAATACATGAGCGATAATTACTTTTCCATTATTAATCTCTAAGGGATATCTAAATTCATGAGACATTAATAAGTGCTTAATCACTTGACTTTTGCCGCGGAAAAGTAGTGGATAAAAAATAATGGAAATCAAATTGTGGGTGGCCCTGAAAAGGGCCTTCACTCGTTCTCGCGGTCGGACGTCGTCACTATTAGTTTGTAATTGCGCCACAGATAGGACAGTGCACTGCTCGTACGTTCGGCAATTGGTCGTAGGCACAGAAGGTATGAAACATTGCTTCACATCTACAGAAAACCCAACCAACCGCATCACCGGTTTCACACGGAGGCTGCGCAAGATTACATATGTCGTGAACAATGAAGCCATGAAGTGAACTGCATTGTTCCTCCGACATTCGCCTGACAAACGCTATCACTGCATTCTTCATGCTTGGCTGACTCAATTGCATTGGGAAATAATTTTCAACTGCAATATGAGTCAGATAACCATCATAGTGTAACCACCTGTCACAAATTGACTGTACGTTCACATCGGTGTTACTGTGTGTGCAGTAAGCCAATATGTGACGGCATGGTATTCCGTTTTCAATGAAGAATGGACACGAGCACCGGCTAGTATCGATGTGTACGTAGTACGTCCCCGTAGCGTCCATAGCGGTGAATAAATCTTCCGACAATGCTGACTGCGTAATAGGAATACGTAGGTGTCGCTTCAGTAGTTGACAGGCAACTGGTGTTAGTCGTTCCTGAAGTCGACGTAATTCCGGCTCCTCACCAATATCGGCTTTCCCCCGACAATCCATTGAATATTTATGTAACCTTGCTTCCATCCAATATCCAGTACGAAGCAGCACATTGGATATGGATCTGAGAACGGGTGTTTTTCTATTAAGGTGATACATTTTCAAGACTCGGTGACTGGTCTCGACGAAGTTCGTATTGTTGAGTTCAAAGAGAGTGGATGGCGGTCGAAAAGCAGTGGACCATTTGTGTTTTCGTGGTAGAAGGTGGTCTCTGACGTATCTTCCAAACGTTCCGTCAGACATTTCGATTAACGAAAGTACGTTGTTAAAACTACAAAATCATGTTATGTAGATTTTGATTTACCTTTCAACCGTTCGAGTGAACATCAGGCGAAAGAACAGTTGTACAATTTCTGATCGCACCCTCTACAATAACGGTTACTGGGTTAATGTTAATGAACCAAACACTTACCCTCTTTATCACATTCCGAACAAGGTGTACGCGACACAGAATATGGTGTGCATCCGGATACACCTGCGTAATAGCAGCAGCAATTGCAGGTGAATCATCGGTCACAATGCCTACTAGCTGTCGACTGTTGGTACACCGTTGGAGAAAACGCAGGAACGCAGAAATGAATGTCGACGTTTCGCGACTTAAAAAGGCAATGCACATGGGTATTGCCTTAAAATTCATATCCAGGGCAACGATTTGATATAAATGGACGTTCTCGTTATTCGTTTTGTACGTCCCGTCAAAACCAATTACGTCACAAAAGTGACCGGCCAAATTCAATTGCTCAGCAGTCATGAAGAAGAAATACGATAGACAGTTCTCATCGTCCAATTCGTATTCGCAAAGCCCACCCAAGGATGTTATGTGAGCTTTCAATTTCCCGTAATCACCTATAGTGTACATTATAAATTGGCAAATTGCGTACCAGGAAGGTTCGCGTGTGAGAACACTTTGTACCGCATATTACAGACATCTTGATCAGTCAGACATTTCCCATAAGATTGGTAAGCGAAATTCTTTACGTGGAATGCAGCGGTACCGGAAATCAGCAGCGGTCTCACAGTTTCAAACTCTTCATCTGTTAACCTGCGCACCCATGAATTACCTTGGTACCTCAGGGAATCGCAATCGTGATTGTGATGCACATTCCCACGTACAACAGTCCAATAACCATCTATATTCTTACAAAACATGAAGGCCGGATATTGGGTGTTCATAGAAGCACTTCGTCAAAAAATTATAAAACCATTTACCAAATTACCTCCTCCGTCTAATACGTTGTGACTAACCGCTAGATCTTATACGCCTATTTCGCCAACACACAAATTTAATGTACGATTTCTGATCTCTGCCAATATGCGAACCAGCGCTTGTACTCGGCCCACTACTCCGACCCATAAAGACGATTGAAATTGTGCTTCGTCGACAAGTACTGATAATTTATAACAATTTTCAAAACATAACTAACCAATTAAATCTAATTTTTGAAACTAGCCATTTCATTGGACGAAAGTAGGGATGAAAAATTTTGTAATTTTGGGGTGAAAATTTTTTTTACAAAAAAAATGGCCGGTCGGACAATATTATTCCACAATCTCTTACGTGTTGTTTGGGCTTTTGGTGAAACATAGACCTTGTCTTCTCAATAGTGAAATTGGAAAAAATCTGTACACATCACAATCAAGACTGAGTTCATCTGTAGTGTTACATATTGTTGAAGGGAATATTTATTTTTACCTGATTTAACTAAAATTTTAATTCAAATAATGGTGTTATTTAGTTTGTTTTATTGTATTTGAATTGATTTCACTTTTTTTTTAAATGCTCAACTACTCATCCATCTATACCATTTCTCACTTTGGTCTCTAACATTTTAGTTACTTGTTCAATGTACACATTCACATTTCGATCTCTATTAAAAAGAATATTTAGTAAAATATATCTTCATTATCATTAATTTATCTGTAAAAATTAAACAGGATATAGATATTACAATGATTGAGATCATGAGTCACTTAAAGCTTGACCACCATGGAAAACCTGGAAACACTAGACAGCGCGCGAGACTGATAGATCCTGGGGTCAGGATCATGGATGCGCACTGCTGAGGAGGAATCCAACAATAAAATCAAACGGCCGTCCAGTGCTTCCAAGTTTTCCATGATTGTCTAGCCCCAATTAACTCATGATCTCAACCATTGGAATAACTACAATATCCACAAAACCTCTTCTGATAAGATATAGATATGTTTTACTATGAATTTAACATTTCTCAAAATAATGATAGTAATAATTAGAAAGAAGATGACTGAACAGCTGTTCAATACATAAATGTAATTGATCTCAGCTATGGATTTGTTCTGCTCTAATTTGAGGAACTTGAATACACAAACGTATATTTGTTTACTGAGTTAAGAGTATATGCTTTAAAAATTTGTCCATATATATATATACTACTTATGATTAAGTTTGTTCCAGTAACCTGTAGGAAGGTTATACGCTTACACCTCGACAGTAATATTCATGACTTCGCGATATGTATTCAATGGTGTTTTAGTTAAAACGTCCAACTTTCAACCTATAAGTTACAGTTTTGAACCCTTTCTCTATATTCCTGCCTTGATTATATCATATCACTAACATTTACATCATTGAAATCTAATTGAAATTTAAAGTGTATACGATTTACATTGAATATTCATTGCTTATTCAATTAATGAATGAATTTTTGTATTGTGTTTATTTATTTGATTATTCTACTTGTTACTGATTGTTTTCTCAATTTTAGAACGAGATAATGCTTATCGATTAACAGAGCTTAGTGCATTATTAAAATTGTTACCACCAGAAAATCAACGTACTTTAGACTTACTGATTAGGCATTTATCAAGGTTTGTTAATTGCTATATCTCCTTTGTTGTTTTCCTTTTATAGGTATTATTACTATAGTTTAAATTCACTTGGTATTGTTTTACTTGAATCTTCCCATTGATGTTTAAGACTGCAATTAATCAGTCTCTTATTGGCATATGTGCATACTTAGGCGAATTACTTCGATAGCGCCTTAATTCACAAGCTTCATAAGTAAAGATGGATATTGGCTAGCAGTGGAATCCAGGACGCGCATGTCGTCCTATTTGGAACTCATCATCTGGATGTATCTGCATCTCAGCGTTGATAATCACTCTGGGACTCGAACCCAGTACTGTTCGCTTCAAACGCCATCACATTATCACTGCTAACCACTATCCAACTTTGCTTATAATGGTCAAAGTAAATCTGTGTGAGACATTACTGTTTGGGTATAAAAAGTAAAAATAATTAGTCTGCATCTACCAATATGGCTAAGACTAGAACGCAGTGACTTCAAGCACTGATGCCACATTTTGGCCAGTTTGGCCACTCCTAACTTTCTTCCATCCATCCCCAACACTATTCAGCATTGCACGTCGTAGTAATCGATGTTTAAGTATACGTAACACGTGGCCCAACCATCTCAGTCGATGAAAATTTACAACCTCATCAACTGATTTGCTGTTACTCCCTAGTATCCTGTGTTTAACCTCACTATTACTTACCCGATGATCCCAGCAGATGCTGGGATTTGTGTGCAGACTGAGAAATGATTAGAGTTAACTGTGGTTGTTTGGATAAACAATCCATGTTAGATGAATAGTCAGGCCTTGTTTTCCTTTGAAGAAGAGGGATGTTTCAGCTATTCGCCTTTCTTTATAGTTGACTAAACGTTTTTGAATCATTTTAATACTTTGTATCGATTTGGTGGTTATCGAACATACCATTTATCGCTATTGCAGATTTGATTTGTAGATTCTCCAATTCCACAGGAATATTTTGTGGTTGCTTAAGTGTTTCTTGGCATTAGTCGTCGAAGAAACTCCCTATTACATAATTTATTGAAATCAATACAACCCGATCTGTAAACTCAATGTCGAGTAGATGTAAATGGGATTTTTCCCTTGATTTCAAACTAGTACATTTCGAAAAGTGTTAGTTGTTTAGTAGTAGGATTTAATTCTGTATATTCTCAAATTACTTTGCAATTCTCCTGTCATACCTTGGCTGTGAAACAAAACTACTGTGTTATTTAAAAATAAATCGTAAGCTGCTTATTATATTATTTTTCTTCTCTTTGCTTATCTGCTTCTGACGTAGCTTTTCTGAACAGATTCAGAGCCAGGAAACTTTTCTCTTAGAATAAATGTTGAGAATATAAATCGATATATCTATTTGAATGTGTTGGTTTTCTGTATATGGTTAAGTTCAGATTTTCATTAGGAATTTCTTCTAACTAAATGATTCAAGTATGGTAATTCACTATGTTCATATTCCTTTTCCAAAGTGAATTTGATGTCTGGATGGGTTTTCTCAATGGTAATAAATGTATCATTTACTTATCTGAGTCAATATGTGGTTTAATAGTACTGGAGAAAATAAGTGACTCATTATGGAGCATAAATAAACTAACAACAGTCGAAGACACTCTGTTGAAGTGGTTTCCATCAAGTCACGAAACGTCAGAAATTCCAATTTCAACACTGAGATGTATATTATTATTCTATCATTATCCTATTATCATTATTCTATTATTAAACTATTCCTTCGTTTCACTTATGAATTCGTCTAAAATAATCTTGTCTAATTTCTTCCTGATGATGAACTATTCACTAAAATATGTGTAATATATAACTATCGCATTGACCACTGAGTAAGTAATGCCTAGGTTAGACATAGGGTATTGGTGAAAAATGACAATTCGCTTGGTGAAGTTGTAAATCTTTATCGATTAGTTTCGTTAGGAAATGTGTTGCATATACCTAGCCACCTCCTTCCTCGATCAGCGCTTCTTACTGATATTGAGTTAGATTAAAACGAAGCTAGATCTGGTTAAACCAAGGCATTAGTGTACGAAGTCATTGATCATTGTCATGAGTCATGGTAATAAATGCATGCTACCTGGTTGGGGTCTGCACGATTATCTCACGGAATAATCGAAGACTTTATGTAACATGGTTTAGAATCGTATGCAATGATGCAGGTGAATTAAATCTGTCTTTTCTTAGATCTTAATTTTTTAAACTAATCTTGAGATTCCGTGAGACATAAGTTACTAGGGGTTAAAAAATTTATGTTCTTATTCTTGTCATCATACTAATTCTTTTTTATATGTCACATTAACATAGAGTTCATCTCTACCAGTCAGTCATTTGATCCTACTTATTTAAAGCCTTAAGTGAAATATTAGTAGGTACCACCCAAAAGTTACACGAAACTTATAACCTATTCAAATTTATGAGAACGTACAAACCATGGCAAATTTTCACTGTATATATGCAGTTTTATTCTCTGAAATATATTCGTATCAATCTAATACCTAATTTTCTTCTGTTTTCTGTTGTGAACACTTACAAATACACACAAATATTCTAATATATAGTGTTGCTGCCTACAGTCAATTGAATCACATGAATCCAAGTAATCTAGGCATTGTATTTGCACCATCATTGTTTCGTTCACGTGAAGAATCTGTCGCTGCAATTATGTCAACAAAATTCGCTTCAACTGCTGTCGAATTAATGATTATTAATTATTCAAGTTTATTTCCAATACATTCATCGAATATTCTTCGACCATTACCTCAGTTATCCTTACCATTATCTACTACCCCACTTGTTATGAATGATAAAAATGGAACTATAAGCGAAATTAACAATACCACTCATAATTCTATCAGTAGTATATTTGATAGTAATAGTACTTCTACTACTATGGGAAAATATAACCATATTAAGAATGGTGAAAACTCTATAGAACCAGTGTATACTACACCGGTTATTAGCTATCCTTTTCAGTTAAACAGTAAGTTTAATATTAGAACAAATGGATATTTCTTTTTTTTACATTCTTTTAATTTGAGTATTCATTATTTAGTTTATCACTTTGCAACTGAGTTTGCTTGACTGTTTAATATTACATTTTCGTTATTCTAAAATTCCCCTTTGTATGTGTATGAACTTGGATTAAGCTTGAAACTAAGTCACCAGAATTAACCTCTGTACGATTGTTATCAAAGAACGAAGGCATAACGAAAGCATAACTGTGTAAACTAAAGTTACATTTCAGTTGATCATTGAAATATTGTTTATCGATTGAAAAACTTACCAGATAATATTTAGATATAAAACTTTCATAATAAATGGAATAGTGGAGATTTGTAGTTCAGGTGGATGATTTTGATGCAGTTTTTTTCTCTGAGCTGGATGGTTTGATCGTGGAGCGATGGAATAATGGTTGTGGAACGATGAAAATTCTACGACCAAATCATCCAACTCAGAGAAAAGAACTTCATCAAAATAATAAATGGGCTAATGTAAACAGAGTATGTGATTGTATACAATCAATTATAAATTTGGTACTCGTTTCAGGTTGTCAGTAAAACAATCTTTCAGTTGAATAACCGTAAGAATGAAACTTCTTATAACTTTTTTTAAAAATCATGAATGATTATGGTTATTTTTGTTTAGAAGGCATTAGTTGGCATGTATATACTCTTGTATTGTATACAGAATACATATGGCATTCTTTATAAATCTTCCATTCATAGAGTTGTTATTAATGAGAGGAATGGTGATGTATACTATACATTTATATATATAGTCTGATGCTTCAAAATGTTGTGTTTTACAATAGTAATGTTGTAACTGCCTCCAAATGCCCTGGTATGGCCGAGAGTGGGGTGGGCCCACCCTTCCTCTCCAAATGCTCTCACACGGCCACGTGTATACAGCCTCTGCCAGGGAAGTCCTACTCACTGCCTTCTCGTGACGGGGGTGTTGTTTACGAAATTGAGAGGATGAAAAGCGAATGTCCGGCACTTTAACCGGATTCCAAACCAATGGTGCACATGAGCTCCAGTATCCTGAAGGAACAAATGGCGTATGAACCAATCGTTGGTCACCGGCTACCATGGGACTGCATCACCTTACGATGCTCCACTGCCTTATGGGTCAGACCTTTAGGTCAAAGGCTCGGGTTGTAGTCCCCTAAGAAAACCACGTGGTTCGGTCTGGGCACCCGAGCAGTATCCGACCCCTCACACAAATCGAATGATTTATATGGCGTATATGTATTCGGTGCCTCCTTGTACCAATATCTAGGTGTTAAAATAAATAATAAATTTGCTAAAAAGTTTATTTTGGCTTTTACATCTCATTTTTGTATTCAATATTAAGAGCGTATGTAAGGGGGTGGTGGTGTCTAATTGTCAATGTTTGAGGCTATACTGAATCTAAAGATCAGTCAGTCGCAAGGTAGAACCTGGTATGCATGTTCATTATTTTGACTCTGTTGCTATTCACGCTGTCGATTTCATTTCACCGTGCTGATCTTAAATACATCTACCAACATCATTCAGTCAGTTACAACGTAGAACTTGTTTGTTTTTACATTGGTTTAAGTTTCCATACCTCAATAGCATAGAGAGATGAAATCGTTAGGCTAAAACCCAGAAATAATAGAGGTAGTAACAGAATAATTGATAATAGAAAAAATTAGACATCAAATATACGATTTAAGAAAGTATAAATTACTGAAATATACCAGGAAAAACGGTTATAAGGAGTTCAGAAACTCAGAATTTAGGGAAGACAAAGAATGGATGCACCTGTGTCATTGCAAACGAGTTTCAACCATGTCGCCTAAAGTCTCTAATCACTGATTACGATAATAACGTGGACATTATGTAGTCTATACCTACTCACATGGCCATGTTTTAGTTTAACCGTTTCTACCTTTGTTCCAATTTCCTCCTACATCAGAAGTGAAGCGCTCTATGCGTTGAACCACTTTATTACCTATCGTTAATTCAGACCATGACGAAAATCAATCCTGAAATGATATTTTACATTTAGAGGGAGAAAATATGTTTGCAGTGTTATTTAAGGTGGTCAGAAGATTTTTTTACTAAACACAACTATATCATCTGCGTATTCTAAGTCATCAAGTAATAGTAGTATCGATCATGAGACCCAGTAAATCTGTTGCATCATCGGCAAACATGCAGTGAATTTATTGATAGCCACGAAAATCCATCGTATTTGTTTTCAATGAAGTCAAAGGAAATGTCCACTTCTGTTGTCAGTAACATATAAACACAGATGCAAAATATCTTATATGGTAATGTGTTTCTATCTGTTTTCCAGTGTTGACATCATCACATTACTTTCAAAGCTCTCATATGTTAGGACTATCGAGTTACCGATGCTGAGATTAGGTTCAGAATACTAGGTAACCATGCTAAATCGGTTGATGTGGTTGTAAATCATTCTTAACTGAGGTGTGCTGTCGTATGCCCAACTACATTCCTCACCTCGACAAAGTGCAATGTTTACTATTGTAAGTGTAGTTCGTAAAAAGTTGAAGGAGGCAGTCAAACCCGAGGTATTGCTATGTTGTTAGGTTTAAATTACCATCCGAAATACCTTATTAAGTCTTTATAGTTGAATAATTATTTCATCTTAGTATCGTAGTATGTATGCAATAGTATTAGTTTTACTAATTCTTTGTTCTACTAAATTGGTGTAACTCACTTTCATCTATTTCCCATAAACATTATCAAATATGCTGTGTGTTTTTTTATTATCCGAAGAGGTTTTGTAGATATTATAGTATTTTTAGTAGTTCAATTCATGAGTCAATTGAGGCTAGACCACCATGGAAAACCTGGAAGCACTGGAAAACCGTTTCGTTCTACTGTGGGACTCCTCAGTGGCACGCATCCACGATCCCGCCTCGTGAGATTGGAACACAAGACCTATCAGTCTCGCGTGACAGCACTTAACTTCTAGACCACTGAGTTGTCATCTAAGGGTGTCAATGTCTAACTTCAACTAATACACGGAATTGAGCGACACATTATGATCTCAACTATTAAAATTACTGTAATATCCACAAAACCCCTTCTGATATTAATCAACATATGCTCACCAGTGACTAGCTTCAAGACGCGTTTCCTGAAGTTCTATTGAGAATCAAATCTATTGTGAGATAATATCTCACTGATGATAATGGTGGATTTGTCACTCAACTTCTTGGATTAGTTGAAGTTAGACATTAACACCGTTGGATGCCGACCAGCTCACTTATCTAGAGGTTAAACGCCCATACGCGAGACTGATAGGTCCTGAGTTCGAATCTCGTAAAATCATGATCGTGGATGCGCACTGTTGGAGAGTCGCATAATAAGACGAAATGGCCGTCTATTGCTTCAAGGTTTTCCATGATGGTCTAGCTTCCATTAACTCATGATCTAAACTATGAAAATTTTCTTTATTGTTTTAAGTTTTAAAATTTTTCCATTGTTCATTGTTTCATTATTAAACTCTGATTATCATAATCATGAATACGGTGATCTCATATAACTCATCAAACATTTTTTTCACTTGTGTAGTTAAAATCATTTTGCTTTTTATTTTTGTTTTTTTTAATTTCACACTAATCATTTTAACTCACGTTCAAAGTTTATCCTTTTTATACACCGTATAGATTCCATAATGGATCGGTAGGTTTAAGTTTTATTATTATTAGTAGTATGTGGTATACAAGAAGCAAACAGTTTTTTTTCTCTGCTTCTTTCATTATTCTTTTTTTTTCTATTTGCACTTTTGCTAAATGCTTTTTGATTGCTAGCGATTTTTCGTATGTTAAGAATTGCATGTTTGTTGACCTGGATACACATACACACACACGCAAGTTTAAGAGTTTCCTTTGTGGCAAAGCTTAAGATCACTGTGTGTGATGATGATAGTTTCTATCAATAACTGGGATCACTATGGGAAAAAAATAACGTTAGAGATAATTTTGCACGGGACGGATGTCACATTTTTTAAGCTTGAAAGTATCCACCCTTTGTGTGGCTTTTTAAATCTGATTAGAGAATAGCTCAGAATTTTACTGCAAGAAGAATAAAGTATTCCGACGTTGTCTATCCCATAAACGTATGAGTTAAACTATCAAGCTTAGCTTTGGATATTGATGATTAATTGATATAGTTTCAGTCACTCATTGCATTGAGTCTATTTTATCACAGTCGCCTGTATTTGTAATAGTTAGGATTTCTAGTTTCTGTCATCTGTCTAATAAGTATTGGAGTTGAGATTCTGAAATTTTCATTTTACAAAATTTAGAGTGATTTAATCACCACGTTAGATCACGTTTCCTACTCACCAAACTTGCCCCACTCCAGTTTTATTTTATTTTCAAATGTGGAATAGCTATGTAAAGGGTCTACAGTGTTCTTCGATCCGATCCAGCCACTGATGCACACTCCAGCGCTTATACGATCATCTACACTCAAAGAGGAAGATAGAAGCTGTGTATGTATCCTTTATTTCACCAAAAGCTAAATAATCATTCTTACGACTGATATGTGCATATAAGTTGTGAGAGTGACTCAGACAGGGACATGTGAATTATAGATTTAAGTAGATGAATAAGATACTTACAGTAACTATTGTGGTGATCCAGAAAACTTCTCGCAAAATACAAGAAAGGCTCAGGAAACACTAAGAAGCATTTTATCCTATCAGCGTTCACTTGAAGTTTTAGCCAGAAACATCAAGGAAGTGAAACGTCACATTTAGAGGTCCTGATTGGCTGATTACTATACTGCTACTATGTTTAGTATCATTCCAAAATCTTCGAGCAACCCAAGAACATTGAAAATATTATAAAAATCCTATATTTTCTGTACTAAAACGAACCTTCGGAGTAAAGTGCTTCTCGCATATTTTGCCCCTTTTCTCTAATGTTCAGGTCGCTGTTTAGTTCTAGCTTGCTGGCTACGAGAATAGCTTAGGAACCGAATATAGCGTTCAATCAGCAAGACTTATCAGTAACCCTGTTGCCCACACTTTCACCCTACCCACCATGTAGTCTTGAAACCATGTGATACGTTTGGGATTGTTCGGAAAACCGCAACGCTAAAACGACAAAACAACTGTAGACTGTAATTTTCGGAAATTCCGAAGGATGTGTTGTACAATAAAAATGGAAATATAACACTTGTATTTCCATATATAAGAGGGCGTATATTTTGAAATACTCTAGATTTTGAGAAGTGAGGTTTTCATGATCTTGGTTCATCCGGTTCATTGGACAGATCACAAATTTTTCAGTACTTTATTCATTGATATTACTTGATAGTTAACTATATTCTATCTGTTATTCTGTTTCAATGTTTTATTGCTTAAAACCATGTATGCTTATGCGTTTGTAAATGTGTGTGTGTGTCCTTGCACGACGCTGTTAATCTCTGCTTTTATACCGCTTCATTAATTAACATTTTGCATGCGTTTTTTTAAAATTATTTCTGTGACTGAACTGATCGATTAGGCGTTTCTTATTTTTGTTGCTGTAATCATTTACAGTAGTAAGAGTTTGTTAGTTTAGATTCGAATCATTGACTCTGCTTTTTTGTTGGGTTTTTTTTGCATATGGAGTGTAGTTTGTTAGTGGGAAAAAGTCTTGAATCATTTGTAATCTTAATAGTTGAAATCATGAGTTAATTGAAGCTAGATCACCATGGAAAACCTGGAAGCGCTGGAAGGTCGTTTCGTCCTATTGTGCAACTCCTCAACAGTACGTATCCACAATCCTACCTCGCGAAATTAGAACCCAGGACCTATCAATCTCACGCGCGAGCGCTTAACCTTTCGAACTTTCAGCAATACATTTCTATATTATCAGAATGGGTTTTGTGGAGAATTTAAGAAATTTCACAGGTTTAAATCATGAGTCAGTTGAAGCTAGACCACCATTGAAAACCTGGAAGCACTGGACGGCCATTTCGTCCTGGTATGGGACTCCTCAGCAGTGCGCATCCACGATCCCGCACCACGTGGGGCTCGAACCCAGGACCTACTGGCTTCGCGCACGAGCACTTAACCATTAGACCACTGAGCCGGCTCAGTGGTCCCATACCAGGACGAAACGGCCGTCCAGTGCTTCCAGGTTTTCAATGGTGGTCTAGCTTCAACTGATTCATGATTTAAACCTGTGACATTTCTATATCTTTTTAGAAAGTTGTTGAGCTGCTATTGTTTTCAAAACATAAACTCCTCTATGAATTTTAATACTGAAAAAAACCCATCAAAAATCTAATCCAACACAAGGAGGAACAACAAACTTGTGTTTACGAAATCAAATGTAATGATTGTAGTGCTATTTATGTAGGTAAAATATCATGACATTTGAATGTGCGGGTGAAAGAACACAAACTGTACTTAAAGCACATTCCTAAATCATCAGATGATGTAAGAAAACTTAAAAACAAATCAGCGATAGCATTGTATTCGATAGAATCGAGTCATGCAATTGATTTCAATGGCACAAGAATTCAAAAAGGTCTTTATTCTTACAAAGAAAGACTAATAGTCGAAGTAAATTCAGATAGTATTAATAAGAGAGATGGAATACAATTAACTGTCCCATGGCAACTAATAAACTTGAACTCCTTATTCCATTTAATCTATCACTTATTATCTGAATATGTTGAACAATTAACTGAAACAGGAAAAGTAACACAAACATTCATTCCTTCATTTTTGTTTTGTTTATTTTATGCATACTGTAACGTATTTGATGCATATCACTTATAAAAATTTACCGAACAGAGGCGATACATAGTCAGTGAAATTTCTTCTCACATCTCAGATCCATTTACGAATACAAACAATCTGTTATGTGAACACACTTTTCGTTACACACGTTACACCTAACTCATACACGCTAAAGCAAATACCTTGATGACCTATTTATTATATTATATGCAAAGATGGATAGCGGCTAGTAGTGGGGTCCAGGACGCACGTTTTGTCCTATTTTAAACTCGTCAGATGGATGTACCTGCACCTCAGAGTTGATGTTCCCTTCGGGGCTTGAATTCAGTACTGTTCTCTTCAAACGCCATCGCGTTATCCACTTAGCTACTGAGTCCTGATAGCCACTTGCTTGTACGACTATACATTTTTGCATATAATGCTTGTGAATTAAGGCTATATCGAGGCACAGTATGCACATATGTCAACAGGAGACTGATCAGTTGCAGTGCTAAACATCAATGGGAAGATTCTAACAAACAATATCAAGTGAATTTATTTAGTATATTGTTAACCAGGGAACCTTGTACTTATTTATATTCGATAATTTTGATTATATTTCCTTAAAAAGACTCGAACCAGATTGACGAGAGCGAAACGTTGGATTTACTTCAAATTCGATCGCTGAGATTTTACAGATACAATCCTGCTTCTTAATTTTATTATGTAGCTAAGCGGTGTGAAAATAACTTTCATAGTATAGTCTTTTTTAAAATCTTTGAAGAAAGTGTATATTCAACGTTCAGCTTTCTTTAAGCTTCTGTAAATTATAAATTCCGAGAAAGTAAAAATTTTGTTCAGCTGGATCCTGATTTATTGATTTGAACACATGAATATTGGTACAAGGGGGAACTAGATACATATGCGCCACACAAATGTCATTTGATTTGTGTGAGGGCTGTGATACTACCCGAGTGCCCAAACCGAAGCTGGATCCTAGTCGTCAAGCTCTTCGGTTGGATAATTTCTGTAAAAATTCTCATATAAATAGGTCTGTTTATTATCTATGCTATTCATGCAAAGGTATAAATTGACCCTATGATACGTCATCGTATCTTCTTAAAAGTATTACTTACTTACGCCTGTTACTTCTCGTGAATGAGCATAGGCCACTCACTAGCATTCTCCATCCAGCCCTGTCCTGGGCAATCTCTAAAAATACGCTAACTAGAAAAATACTTCTGAAAAGTATAAAATAGATTAATTCAGTTTTAGTCAGTGACGACTAATCTCCATCTGGGATTGCTACATCAGACTAAAAGTCAATACGACAGTATTTTCAGCAACAAAACGTCATCCTAATATGTTAGTAGTTTATATTTCTTGTCACATTTACGTCGCGACAACTGCCCAATCCTTTCGAGAAATAAACTGCAATACAATGAGAGACAGTTTTTCCTAAGAATTTCTATAGACAACTCAATAAAAACGTCGAGATGTACATAATTTTAAAGTTTACCATCTATAGGTATGGTATATAGTTCGGTGTAAAATAGTGAAAAGTATTCGATATGAAACATAAAACTTCGTCTTCTATAAGGTTTATTTGTAGTTTTGAAGGAACTGATGCTCCCCCTTGAAATCACATCAATTTACAAGCTTTATTTGTCACATATTTATCTCATTTGAAGTGTCTCTGTGTTATGATATTGTTGTTCACTGGTATCACATGATAAAATCACCAATCAGAGTATCGATTTTTGTAACTTTGTACGTAAGCTAACCAATGACACGCTAACCAGCACTAGTAGCATCAAATTACTGTCAAGTCCTCATTGTTTACGAATTCCCTAAAGTCTCTCCTTGTCCTGCCTGTTGAGTCTAGAACACAGTAATGAGCCTGCACTATACGAATATCATATTTCAAGCATATGTACTTTATAGACAGAAATACCCGACCGCATCATACTAGAAAATAAAAAATAGGGGAGACTATAAATAATAAACTGATAATAGTCAGTGGGCTGATCGAAATGTCATGATGAAAGGAGTATATACACATGTCCGTTTACTTAATTATACAGTAAGAATATGTATATAATAATAGTCTATAAATTAGTTGCTATTCCCTTAGTCTTTGTTCGGACATTAAACGGTGAAAATCTGGAATCACTGGACAGATGTTTTATCTTAGTATGTGACTCCTCAGCAGTGCGCACTCATGAACCGGACAACGACCAAACACTGGACTTTTATGTCATCAGTAGATTCACTGAGTCTGGGTCCAACTGTACAATTACAATTAAAATTAGTTTTCAATGAAGCAAAGGAATCCCCTACTAAGATAAAATAGTCTTTTGGTGTTTTAATTCTTACTAATACCTCAACTGAGATCAATCTGTAATGATTGTAATCTACATATTGGTATCCCACTAAATCCATAGTGGTCGATTCTAACGAAGAATTCAAAAACATGTTAACCATGTTCTCTCTCCTATAGTTTAGTTTAGTTAGGAAGCATAATCAGCCTTCCTATTTATAAAATGTGGCTCAAAACCTTTACTTAGTCAGTCAACTATGTTGCATATATTTCATGGTTTCCTAAAATTCTTACGCACATATTTTATTAACTGATATCATTAGATCTGAAAACATGTTCACTTCGTCCAGTAATGAAAACTACTCATCTCAAACATCTTTACAATCGACTAAATCATCATCTACGTTTACATCTTCCTTCACACCAACATCAACAACCACAAAATCAAATTCACAATCATTCAAAAGTTCGCCAAGTCTCCCAATCGCATTACAAATTGTCCATGACAATGAATACATTACTAATCAACACGAACAAAATTCAACAAATGAAAAAATTTTAAATCATTCTCTTCATCATCATCATTCTCTATTAGTTACATCACCATTATCTATTCATCACAATAATCATTCAATTGAGTCACCATTGAGATCTCGTATATCACCGCAACGTAGCAGGTAGTTATTTTTGATGATAATGATCATAACGATACTGATGAAATTTTTCTTATTGGCTAGCAGTGAACATTAGTTTCTTTTTTCAATAGTTTACCTCTAGATCAGTCAGTGGTTTGGGTCCTTAGTCGTTGGGAGGTTTAAATACAGTTTAGAGGTGTATTGTTTTCTTGTGAGGGGAAAGTGAATTCACGAGCAAGAATTGAGAATTTTCGCCCGAACTTCTAGTGATAGATCGTGACTGGTTATGGTGTTCAGCTTTGTTGACAATGAGATAGTTTATCATCAATGGGATTGAATAATATTGGACTACAACCCCAAGTCGAAATTAAAAATACAGATCATTGGTTTCTAGTTCATTGTTATCAAGATCAACCATTCTCCATTAATTGGCACAGTAATAATTTAAGAAGGATAATGGTTGATTAATTTGGTTACTGCACGTGTTCTCCATGATACTCAACCACATGTCAGGTTGTATTGTGCACATAAATTGGTAACTAAGTGAGCAAACAAGTTTTAACCTTAAGTGATTGATGGAAACTGACAGTAGAACCCAACTCTTTACACCATCGAGTCAGTGAGGTGAAAGTTTTTCTAAAGCTTGTTTTGATTCATGCCAGTATATGTGGTTGCGATAAACCTTATTGCTAAAGCAATGAACGTTACATATTGAATCGGTTTTTCAGTTTAACATTTTATTGTTTAAAAATGCGTTATTAAACGAATAGTCTTTTCTCGTAGATATTGATTCTTTGCGATCATAGATCAGGCCTTTTCATTTAAGAATCCACAACTCAGTAAGGTTCTGTTGAATGACAATTATATTTTTTTGCTGATCTTATTATCTTGTTAGATCCGTTTAATCATATCAATATTGATAGGGATCAATGAGTCAGTGGTTAAATTGTAGTCACTAAATGTAATTAAATAGTACAACTATGCCAACTTTATTATAAACTGGATAACTACAGTGTAGTAAAAATATGTTCTTAGATTTGATTAATTCTAGTCTAATCTATAGCTTAGCCAATGACATTGGAGTGTTAATAGAAATCGTATCGGAATCGACAATTGTGTATCTATGTGCTAATGTGGTATGACAACTCGAACTGATGTACTTACGTACGAAGTTCTACGTTGTTACTGATTGACTGACTAATAGAAATGCAATTGTGTATCATTTAAATTGTATACCCACTCATAATTTCGTAATTTCTAGATGATGATTCCTTTTAAAATCTGACTTTCTTCTGAATGTAATCAGATAATTACGAAGTCAAACATTTTACAACAGGTTTGTGAGCTTCTTCTATGGAAACATACATTTTTGTACTAATACTAATCACTGATATATCTATTATAGTCAGTCGTAATCAGGATATGACTTGGTGTAAATATACATCTGTCCAAGTTGCACTCCGCTAACTTCACGAGGTGAAACTAACAGGATATATTAGTGAAGTTAAAATTATACTAGTGATTATTGTAGTAAAATCGACTATACATAGAAACTATGTATCTAAGAGAAGGAATGAATACGCGAAATAAAAGTAGCGAAAAATGGATTACTTATCTGCGCCATTGTGGTCGGTTTTAACCAGTGTTCATGAACTTTACTATCCATCAACCATGATTCTCGCCCGAAGTCCAACCAAATAGTCTGCACCTGCTAACAACTCGTACTCCAACAATTATTGCATTTATGAACTGGTGCCATGTATTAGTTCGATCGCTCATTGCGTCCTTCCAACCTAACTCTTTGCATGTCAGCTGTATGTTCCGCTTTAGACCATTATTAGAATGCTATTAATAGGTGAGAATTAAATGTCATGGTTCATGTAATAGTTTTCTTAGAAAATTTGCTTATTTTTAGTAGAAATTTATATCTTTTAACCAAGTCTATTTTGTATACTAATTTTTGTCTAGTCCGAACCCCCCCATTCATTTAGTTATATCGCAATCTTTTAGAAAATCGCCGGCACCACCACCACCGATGACATCAGCAAAGTGTGTAAATACAATCCCAGTAAGAAGTTCATCAATAAAACCTACCACATTGTCACAAACTCCTGTCACAACGACAATCAAAGAAACTGCTGTCAGTGCTTTGAATCACGAAGATCTATCCTCTCATAATGACTCTGATAAATGTAATAATTTTGGGGTTGAATTCGATCAAACATGTATACCGCATATGTCTTCTGAATAACACTATTTGAACTGCTCTCTATTCTGCCAGGTAAATGTTATTTTTTGCACTTTTCCGATATATATATGTATAACTTCAACCTATAAATCAATGAAGACATGGGAACACTTAATGGGTATGTACACTAGGACCCTCAAGAGACTGAATCCATGACATGCAGGCCTCGTATGGTGTACCTTTACCTCGCTGATATAGAATTCACCAGTCCATGTATCCAATCTAAAAGGATTCATCAAAATTGTACCATTATTGTACGACATAAAATTGAATGAACTTTACAAATGGAGGTTTTTTAATAAGAATTCGCTCAGTAGTACCTAGCGTTATGAAGAATTTTTGAGGTTTTAATTCAAAATCTTGACTGGTAGATTACTATTGCTACTGATACTTCTACTACTAGCAGACATCATATCTATGAATAGGGATATGAATTGAGTTTATCAGTGGACCATTCTGTGTTTGAATTGAAAAGTAATGGGTTCCATTTTCAGTGTGAACTTTATCAACGGACCTATCTAGTCTCCTATGTAGGAAAAGACACTCATGTTGTAATTCATTTTTAATCAAACTTTAACATGATGTTATATATTTTTAATGAAAAACGAAGACTTATTTCTCATTTTTGCATCATTATGTTTCAGAACTTCAATGCATTGATACAGAAATACAGGTGTCAAATAAAATGTACAAGTATATCACCAAACTTAACTGATTGGTTGAAAATTTCTATGTACAAATTATTCTACTTAAATACTTATAAATAGTGTAAAAATGTTTAAAAAATTACTTGTCAAATAGCGTTCGACTTGTCTTCCTTTTTTTTGTTTAGAAAAAATATACATCATATTACTTATATTTAAGTATGTACACACTAACTGTGCAGAATATACTTATTTTTAGTCTGTTTTTGATCAACCAAGGTATCTCTTTCATGCTGTCGTTCTTGTTTGTCCTTTTAGTTTTTTTCTTTGTCATTGGAAATAATCACAGTATCTGTATTGTACGTCACAATAAGAGTAAAATAAATTGTATCATGATGTATATCCCAGATTATTTACAGGTTGATTGGTTAGTTAAGTTTCTTTTAAGGTGTGTACTAACTTCCCAAATAATAAGAGATCGTTTTTCTTGTTGCGAATTGTTGGTTCTCAAATTCCCAACATTATCTTATGAAAAATTTGTTGAAAATGTAGTATTGGCCATTTTCCTCCCCCCCCCCCAGTAATTTTGACTTTGATACAGTTATTTATTGTAAATATAAAGTTCAGAAATGAATAACGTCTTTTCATTTTTCGATTTGATGGAGGTTTGTCGTTTATATCCCATAGATTTATACTATGTAATCAGTGTTGTGTTGTGGCTACAGTACGATACTTCAAAAGTTAACATTAGGATCAAAGGAGACAATTCTGAAATGTGATAGTACAGAATCTGTGCGCAATCGAAGTGTTTGAATCTCAAAATGTGGTCTGATTTAAGAAGACCATTAAAAGGAAAACTTTTTTTGTTATTGTATTTCTGTATACAGTGGCCTGCTTGAGTGTTTTGGCTACCTATTTCTCTTATCTAAATATTACAAGTTATCTTTTTTATTTTGTTTTAACATATTACTATGTCTATCAGTCGCACAACCTGTTCAAACGCATTTATGAAAAGTTTACGACCAATCGCCTTGCATGATACAAAAAAGTATAATCCGAAACATCGTAGTGGCCATCAATATGCATTGAAAAGAATTAGTTTTGTTTAGATGTCGATTCCTAAACTGCTCAATTATAACTTCTAATTACTGATTGGCAAGGTAAATTATTTCAAATTCCTTCTAAGTCATAGTATGTATGGAAATAGGGGTGCAATCAGAATTCTAGGATCGCGGTTAAATGATTTACAAGACGTTTTCCTAATGTCACTTCAAGATTTTAATATTTATCGTCCAGATTGATCAGGCAGTAAGAAAAGGTGTTCGAGCGATGTAACCACATTTGTAGGCGAGAATCGGTGTTATTCTAATTTTTCAAACGACTTTATCGACTGTTTAACTCCAAGATGCCTTCCGAAACACGTGAATAAATACAATTATTTTCATGTTAGCGATATCTATGCGACTCCAGACTGCACATCATCTGCACTATCTGTTTTCGTTGATAAATCCACTAAATTTGGTGTTTTAGTGGCCCGTGGATTTGACTCCAATTTAATCCTATGAATGATTGTTATCGCCTATTCTCGTATATAATCGTCGACTTAAATCACGTTATCCAATAACGGAATTAAATAAGTCAAATAACGAGAATGGGATGTTGAATACATATATTTCGTATGCAAAGCGAATGTAATAGAACAGAGCAAAATGACGCGCAGGGAAGATGGCTGGGAAGCCAACTCCATTTCAAGCCACGCATTACTCAATATTTATAGGCAGACAAAATAAACTACAGACATGTGGTGAGTCATGGGACATGAAGTGTACACACATACGCTCATATGAAAACAGTCAAGGCTAATAAACGAATAATTAACAAGGTCAAAATATGACTCAAGTAAAATGAATAAAATAGGATGTAGAATAAGGTATATGGGCTTGCCATAATAACTGACACTACAATGTTACTACCTTCAGTAGTTCACTTTCAATTGTATGTGGTGATTTTAATTCATGTGACCTTAGCTTTCATCATTAGGTCATCAAAATGCAGTAAACTTTCCCGCGCCTTGGATGCCCATTTAGACTTAGTTTTCATTAATGATGAGGGAGCATATGAGGCTCGTAAACGTGCTCCATTGTCTAGTTTGAAAAGTGTTCGATATATCTACTCTCTCATAAAGGTTTGCCACAAGGCGTTGTTCTTCTGCCTCTTCGTTTCCGCATAATCTATCTTCCGCAGTGAACACTTGTTAAATATGCGGGCGATTTCAATGTATGCATCCCAATTTTTACCTCTTTACGTCCCCTTGAAATTAATGAGTTCTTATCTCGTATGGAATAGTGGTCTATTGTTAATAGTTTCACACTTAGTTCGTCTAAATCTCAAACTGTCAATTTTAGCCTGTGACACCGTCAGCACTTAAATATTTTGTTGATCTATTAGGGGTTCTTTGACAAACAGTGTCAAGAATCATTCATCTTTAAATAAATTTTTCTTCTGATCTACTTCAGTGTTCTCGTGTTTTTTTTGTTTTAAACGTTTTTCGACTGACTTCATAGTTAGGCTGCATGCTTTCAGTACTATTCGACGTTTACTCTTACGATTTGTGAGTTCTTGCATGTTACTCATTATTCTTTATTGCTCTCTACTGTTCTTTCTCGGGCTTTTGAGAAAATAATTTGCTGTAGTGCGGAGAGTGCTAAAGGCAATTATCACGGTTTGAAGTGGATATTTTGTATTTATTATTATAATGATTATGGATAAACGTTTAAATTCTCGCGAATTCTTGTCAGGTATTATCGTTTCAGATACTACACACACACTTCATTCATATCTTCTTGTATGTCTCTCGGTCGGGCGAAACGTCAAAATATTAAAACGCATACTCTCAAGCAGAGAAATAAAATCTTCACACCTTATCTCACAAGTATGCTATGTGACGAAAAGGTTGTTAGAGTCAACAACCTGTGTTCAATTATAGAGTACAGATTCAAATCTTTTGGGAAAAAAGCATTGCGTTTACCTGCAAGTAGTTTATTTACTTAACTCATTCAGTCATCAGTTTCCTTCGCTTTTTTCCTTTTTTGTTAAAGAAATTTGTTGAAATAACTCTTTCTGAGAATTCTGTTGTACCGACTATGTAACATTGAATACAGTCATTGATAATAATAGTCCGCTCAGTACCTTATAAACTTTGAGCGATGCATTACCGTAACTGATTTTTTCTTATCAGTATTTAGCAAAATGATCCTGTTGTGGATGGCAGTAGCTTGTCTTTATATAGTGTGTTACTTCGAACATTACTACTGACTCCGGTAAGATCCATCACTTTTAGACAGTAATCATGATCAATTCGGTAATTGCGCCTATTTAGGTTCGTTATAATGACGGCCAGGGTTATTTTCTTCCTGCCACTTTATTCATATTCTCTTCAAATTTTTTAACACTTTTAGTTCTTGAATTTTCTTAAGACTTCTAGCACTTTATGTAGGGTGGTCTTATTTGCGTAAAGATAAAATGCATTGTGACATGAAATATTATTTTTCTAAATGGGATGTATGCAGGATTATGTTTGATTCATCTATTAATTCTTTGTTACTGAGGAATTTTGATGTTGAGGACTACGTTATCGGTGAACGCGATATGAGACCTCCCACCTATCAAGCTAGATAGCCGTTTGGCCAAATACGACTATTAATTAATACTTTTGGGCCTGAAAGACACTTATGTGAGACTGAATTTGTGACTGCTACAGACGTAGACATATCTGATAATATTTGCTCTAAATAAACACGGGATTGATACAGTATGAATAAGGGAATGTTAGAATGTATATCGTAAAGATGTCAAGATGTATTTGTACAGTCTAATGATTCTTTCGTATTTAGATACCCACCGATTTGGAGTTCCAAATATAATAAGTTTACTTGTTTTCATCTAGTTCAGTTTTCTGTAAACTGAACTATATAGGGTATTCCTAGTCAGTACAATAATTCAGATGCTTATAATTATCATATAAACCTGACTTACTATAATACCTTAGTTCGAAATTCATCTCTGCCAACCCCTTCAGCTAATCATCAATGATCAGTCAAAGTATGACAGATGAAGCTAGTTGCTATTCATTTTTTATATTCTGTCATCTTTGAAACTTGCAGATCATGTTTGCCTATGGGATATAGGTTCAGGTCAGAATTAATGTATCTGTAGTGGCATTGGACTATAACCACACAATCCTCAAACCTGAATACGAGATTACTCGGAAAATAGATATTCAATATTTAACGCGAAGAAATACCTAACGATGGAGAAGGCGCGAACAATGAACTGAATAGACTAGAGTTGATCGAACGACATGGCTCGGCCATGCAGGCGTGGTCTCTGCTGAATGTTACCTTATATCTTCTATTCATATTAAATATATTGTTCTTTCTCTAGCCTAACCTTGTTCTACATCATGTATTGGTAATTGATACGATACAGTGAGTTGGTGTAGTCGATGGTGTGACTTCCGCGTAAGATCTTATAGATTAGGCAGTCATATCATGACAAATCTACAGATTTAGGATTAGGTCTATTATTAGAGCAGCACTTATATTATAGTAGACCACAATTCTACATTGGTGAGCCCAACTAAAGAAATGCAACCAATTACTGTTAATCCTTATTTCCACCTTAACCTTCTCAATCGGTTTTTATTTTCTGTAAACCCAGTATTCTAATAGTCCTTTGATTAATGGTCACATATATTATCGTAATGTTATATCTATTAGTTCACATAACTTACTAGTTCAATCGATAATAAAAGTTGATCATCTATATCAACTAATTAGCTTTGATGGTTCGTTAAAAAGCTTTAATAGCATTTATCTGCTTCAGCGACATAGACTTGTTTAAACATCAAGCTCTGGCAAATATGGCCTGTAAATAGCGTAAATATACATTGACTAACAATGCAATCAAGGATTGAATAGTTATTTGGATCTAATTCTTAGTGTTCCTTCGCTTAACATCTCATCCTGTTTTAAACTATGCACTATCCTGTAAAATCTTTTCTTCCGACCACTGCCTGCCTAATTTCATATTCTCGAGTTCCATTGTCAAACAACAAGGATGACACCTCTAAAAACATACGGTGAGTTTCAGCCATAAGTTTCCTGCAATCATAAGGTCATTTTAGATGGCTCGTTCAATGGCGACCACACAATGATCTGAATTCATTCCGTTGTTCTGATCTAATCTTGTGGACTTGCCCTGATTTTACTACCTAATTTATAATATTATACGCCAAAGTCACATCATTGTCCATACTGATCAGTCTTAATGTGATAATCAGCGGTTGTTTGTAAGATTGCTTAAACAATGACGGGGTTGCTGAGATGTCATGATCCAAGGTTTTCATACTTAATGACCTCTATCAATCACTCTACGATATCTTTTTGTAAACAAATTCTGTCATTTGAGTCAAAGTTCTCACACATTGCTCTATTCTTGGGTTAGAATTCTCGCAAAGTTGCAATTGTAGCTGTAGTGAAAAATCGGGCAATCATCTGACCAAAGGATTTTCCAAAGTAACCATAGCGACAGTTCGGTGAGGGTCGACAAGAGACTGAACAACAATTTTTGAAT